AAAATGTATTGAGAGTAAATAATCATAAATAGTAATTAGAATGTTTATTCCTCAAGGGTTTAAAAATCTAATGCTAAAATAATATTAAAATATGAGTATACTATTTTTCGAGGATCAAGCATGCATGAATGATAAACCAGCGGTCATTTGTTGAACTGCTATGTAAACTATTAGATTATAAAGGAATTCAATATATTTAAAATATGATAAATTGTTAACTTAGAAAAAAAATCAAAATTCTTATAAGTTGTCAAAAATTATTATGATAAGTAAAAATCCCGAACTGTGATATGAATTATTAGATTATAAAGAAAATTCAAAATATTTATAACATACATTATTGTAAATTGACGTAATTAAAAATTAATTAATTTTATAACTTCAAAATAATATATACTACATTTTTTTAAAAAAAAATTAAGTGTCAATGTATAGTATTTGTCATAGTTTTCAACCTTATCCTCACTTAATTAAGAATAAAAAATATATTTCCTCCTATTTTTATTATTTGTCACTTTGACTTAATGGATCATGAATTTTAACCCTCAATCAATGCACAGTGTCTCTTCATATCTCATCTACATAGTTTCCCATAACATCCATTAAATAGGGTTAGTATTGACAAGAAAAAAATTTTTTAATTAGCGTGTTGCTTCTCAAAACGACAAATAATAAAAATAGGAGAGAGTATATTGTAATAAGGCATAAGTAAAGAAAGATAAAAAAAAGGTGTTTTTGTTAGTATTATTTATAGGTTTATCATTTTTGCTCCATGCATAGGAATTGTTAACTAGGGAAAGAAAGCAATTATAAATTAATTACTTACCATGGAATATGGTAAGTAATTAATAAAAAAAAAAAAAAGTTACCATTCTCTTTAGTTAAAGCAATCACCCCCTAAATATACCATGTTAACATCTGCTTTCAGCTTCAGCTATAGTCATAAATTCCTTGATTTGCAGTGAAGCAACTCTCTTTTTTTCCCCCCTTTTTTTCTATTTAACTTTGCAACAGTCCTTTAATTGCTTCAAGCAACCTTTGATTCTCAATTTCTCATCAGCATTTGTGGGCTTTATATAACTATCCACAAACAAAAGATATCCATGCAACACTTCAACGCAGAGCAACTTTAAAAAAAGAATAGCTGATCAGGTCATATAAGTTCAAAATTTTCCATTTCATTGTAAGAATTTCTATTAGTCAAATTACACAAATTTTAACCAGTTTATTAATTAAGGGTTACGATATCATGTTAGAATATCACTTGTGAGTTGTCCCACATTGTTAATACATGGAAAATAGACTCACTTAATAAGTTTAATGGGCTACTCCTCCTTTCACCAATTGGTTTTGGGATGGAACCCCACTTGGGCTTCATATGGGCTTTCCATTTTCCCCCCAGTTTCTTACAAAAACACCTGATGGGACCGTAGAATTTCCCATTAATTTATTAACTAGTACAATACCCGTGTATTACACGGGTGCTTGTTAAAAAATTATTTTTAAATTTTAAAATTAATGAGAAAATTATATTAAATTTAGTTTACTTTTTTACCAAAAAAAAAATATATTACTATATATTTTAGAATGATATGTGTTACTTATGACTTACATGTGTTATATTATATTACTTTTATAACTTATATCATATAACTACTTGAAATATAAATATATTAGTTGATAAATAATTTTATTTTTCTAATTAATATTAAAAATAATTTTATTATTGTTATAAAGATAAATATAAATTATTTTTTATACATACAATATGGATGTTAAATCGAAGCTTATCAAAAGAAGATTAATTTGATATATTCCATATGTAAAACTGATAAAAAATTCAAAAGTTATCAACTTTTAAAATATATATACAATTCAATAGTTATAATAAGGAATGATATTAAAATACAATTAATACATGTAACATGACCATAAATAATCAACATATTTATGGTAATCCGAACCTAATTATTTTTGGTTTGGAATTAAATTAAAATTTACCAAGCCTAATAACGAAGCATGTAATTTTGCCACATAGGATTCCGAAGCACCAGAAGCAGCCACGTAGGGTCAACGCATTCTATATTAATATATGTATTAATTAATTAATATATAGGGGGATGTTTCCCATTCTTTTTAATAATTCATTTTTGTTTTTTTTTTTTCTTGTTCTGTTCATGATGTTTGCAGAAGAATTGAAAAAGAATTTGACTCTGGCAAACAAAATGGAAATAGGAAGCTCATCACAGCAAAAACGCAGTACAACGACGGACCACATGTCGATCGAGATCGTAAATGACGATAATCTCCTTTCCTCGATTAAACAGAAACTGCTATGCGCTCCTCCATCACATTCTGTATACAGGGTCCCTAAACATCTATGCAAAGAACACGAAGAAAGTTACTATCCGGCCCTAGTCTCGATCGGCCCTTTCCACCGAGGCCGCGAAAATCTCAAGGCCACGGAGGGTCAAAACTGGCAATACTTCAACACGTTGCTATACCGAGAGCCCAACACCGAACAAATTCTAGACGGCTTCGTAAAGGCATTAAGGAACGCGGAACAAAAGGCGAGAGAATTTTACGGCGAGAAAATTACTATGTCCAGCGACGAGTTTGCCGAGATGTTGTTGCTCGATGGTTGTTTCATAATCGAGCTCTTTCTCGAGTTTTATTTCAAGAACTTGAGGCGTAGGGAAGATCCGTTCTTCACCTCGCAAGATTTTATCCGAAGGCTGAGGTGCGATTTGATTTTGTTCGAAAATCAACTTCCATTTTTCGTGCTCGACCAAATATTTCGACTAGTCCATATCCCGAAACATTTACGTGTTCCTTCTCTCTTCGTGCTCGCCTCGCGTTTCTTCAAAAAGATAATCCAGGGCGACCGAGCACAGTTTGATAATGACGAGTATGCCCCTCACACGCATCACTTGCTCGACCTCATCCGACAGCACTATCTTCCTACAATTGTCGAAGCGGAGGTTTTGTCGAGTGGAGGGGAGGCAATAGTTCCTCAGGCGACGCAACTTTCTGCTATAGGGATAAGAGTCGAGAGGGCCATTTCCGAAAGCCCGGCGAATATAAGTCTTATCAAAGGAAAACTCGAGATCCCGCCTCTAGAAATAAATGCTTACAGCGAGATTTTGTTTAGAAATCTCGTCGCGATGGAATATTGCGACCCGCATTGTACGAAACACTTCACGTCTTATGTTGTTCTAATGAAGGGGCTCGTTCGGTCGAGGAGGGACGCGAGATTGCTTCGTGGAAAGGAGATTCTTGTGGGTGTGCATGAGAAAGAGGGAATGATTGTGCAATTTTTTCAGAGGCTTGTAAATGAGGATTTGAATGAGAAGGATTTTTATTACAAGGGGACTTGTGAAGGGATTAGTGAATACCAAAAGAGGGGAGATGGTGGAGGAGTGTGTTGGAAAAATGTGAGGCAAGTTTACCACACAAGTCACTTGGGAATTGTGGGTTTGAGCTTGGTTGTGTTGTTTTTGGTGGTTCTTTTCACGGGAGGATTGATCGTAGCCGTTTATTTTCTTTCCCACCAATTTCAGTAGTTTTTTTTTTTTTTTTTGGTAATTATAATTATATTCTATTTTGGTGAGTTATGTAATATCTTTTCCGTGGATAATAAAATAAATTATTTACATGCTGGACTCGGGGTCACCGGGTCACTAGTCCAACTGTCGGGTTTGGGGTCAATTGTTGAGTCGATTAATTAATTTTATGAAATTTTAAATTATGTTTATATTATTTTTATATTACAGCTATACTAAAAATAATAAAATAAATTATTAACATGTAAATTTTATACCCCAAAATCTTGAAAATATTATATTATGTCATAAATATTTACGATATAATTATATATATATATAGATATATAATTTTAGGTAAAAGGTAAAAAAAATTATTGTAGAGTCAAACCAAATTGATCACGTCGGGTCAGTATTCGGATTGATTGGTCTGAGACCAAGTTGACCGGTCTCTTACTATCTCATATGAACAACCCATCAGACCGGTCCTAGTGCCTAGTCGACCCGTCCGAATCAACCCGCGGGCCTGTTTTGGTTTGAAAGCAATGGCTCCACTTTCATCCTTTTTATTTTGAGTGGGTGTGGGATAAGTTGTATTTGACCAAGTGAGTGAAGGCCCCAAAATGAGACAAGAGAGTGGGTTATTATCCTATTCCATTTCCACTAATCAAAATGCTCTTTCCTATCCTTTTTTCTCGAATTTATTTTATTTTTAAAAAATAATTAATCTAATTTTCTAGGTTTAACAATTTTTTTGTTTAAAAATATTATATTCAATGGCAAACTTATTTTATTTGAGTTTGTAAGATTAAAATTTTAGTTTATTTTTCCTTCAAACGATTAGTCCATGCTAAAAGAAAAATAGAAATGAAAACCTTTCCTCCCTTTTGACTATATAATATAAGGAAGATGCTACGGTTAAGTTACAGAACTATTTTTTCAGAGTTTATAACTGTTAAATTATATGTAACCGTCGAAAATAGTTAATCTAACGATTAGAGACCCAACGAAATAGTTCCATAATGGGTGCATTTCCCTATAATTTAATAATGAAATTTAATTTTCAATGCCTTAGGGTGTCTCCAATGGTTAGCTATTTGGCTAGCTATTATGACGTGGACAGGGGAAAAGTAAGAGAGAGAGTAGTCACTAGCTACTAACAAATAGCTTATCTATTTCACGTAGCCCAATATTATGTGAGAGGAGTATGTGGGTCCAATAGTGTAAAATAATTATTTTTCTTATCTCTCACATCCATGTCAGCTGACTATATAGCTAGTAATAGCTATTACCATTGGAGATGCCCTTACAATGATAACATCATAACAACCCCTCGTTTTTCGTCAATGTCGGACTAAAATAGCCAAAAGAAAAAAGAAAAAAGAAAAGAAAAAGACAGACATTAATCTCCATCATAATTGTAGAGAGAGAAACGTGAGAGAGAGAGAGAGAGCAATAATGGGAGATTGCAGGAGAGTAGGTGTGGCGGTGGATTTCTCGCCGTGCAGCAGGAAAGCCTTGAGATGGGCGGTGGATAACGTCGCCCGGAGCGGCGATCACCTGATTCTCGTCACCGTACAGCCCGAGGGCTACTACGAATCCGGCGAGATGCAGCTTTGGGAGACCACCGGTTCTCGTATGCACCTCACATCTCCCATCTTTTTCCCTATTCTCTTTTAATTTAGTCCCGTTTTTTCAGTTTCTGTTTGGGGTGTATGTGAATTTTAGAGCAAACCTGTGTGGAGGTGTTATTCATCAAGTATTTAATTTTTTTTTTTTTTCTTTTTGTCTATTTAGAGGTGTTAAAGCAAACATACATAATTTGTCAAGAGCTGGTAAAGTGGTGGGCTATTGATCATTTGCTGCTGATAGGGAATTTAATTTATTGAGTATAATTACCTTTTTTAATTGTTGCGGTATGGTACAAACAAGCATTTCTTCACTTGTTCTGTTTGATTTCTCTCCTGGAGTATGTGTCCTGCATAAGGGGCAGAGCCACATGTAATTATACCCGGGCTTCAGCCCTGGTGGCCTCTACAAATTCTAGTTAGTTAATCCCCTAGTGGCTTCTACATGTTCTAAGGTTCTACAGGTTCAGCCCGGGTGGCTTTAGCCCGGGAACGTTTTGAATCCTAGCTCCGCCAGGCAAATGGTAGTTGATTTCATGCGATTTACCAGGGATGGAAATCAATATTTGATCCAAGAAAAAATTTTAGAAACTTGTTTATACCAAGCTAATTGGGGGAATTTATTGTTTTGTGATCGTAAGTCAATCTCTTGCTTCGTTTGGGTAAAATAGCCATGGGATAGGTTGATTTTTTGCTCGTGATTTCATCGTTGAATCTGAAGACATGATTTTGAATACTAGTATTGTTTTGAGCTTTACTCCTTTTTAGACATTTTCACTTGAATTTTGCTTAAGTTGTATGGTATGTTCTATTCTCTTCCGTCTTAATCTATCGATACTTTTGCCATGTCATCAGCTTTGATTCCTTTATCCGATTTCTCGGACCTCCAACTCATGAAGAAATATGGTGTCCAACCTGATCCTGAAACATTGGATATCGTGAATACTGCATCGAGGCAGATAGAGGTACTTCTGTTTTTCTTTCTATTTGCTTGGAGTTACTTACAAAAGGTAACCTTGAGGTTGGCCTAACTATGGAAAAAGCTAAACATTCAAAATTATGAAAATTTCTTTGAAGTTCTAATGTTTGATTAAGTGTTAACTAGAAGCCTAACCTTAATTTTTCTTATGTAAATATCATTTGCTATTGGGGTAAATGTGAGGTAATATAAATCATCAGGGATGTTTTTCGTAACACATAATTTTTTTATTTAAAAAAAAAAAATAGCTAGATTTTTTCTTGGTAACTATGTCAAACCTCAAGGACACCTTCTGTAAATTATCCTAGTTGTTGATAACATTAATTATTTATCAATTTTCACCATTAATATCGTTTAATGACGAGTTGCGAATGAGCCTGAAAAAGCAGATCACCGTGCTCTTGAAAATATTCTGGGGGGATGCTCGAGAAAAGATATGTGAATCAATTGATAAAATTCCCCTCGATTGTCTGATCATCGGCAATAGAGGCCTTGGCAAACTCAAGAGGTTTGACTTAACTCGCTTCATATCCTACTCTGTATCTCAATTGACAATGGGATAGTTAAAAAAAGGATCCAAAAGCTTTTGATCTAATCAACAATCTTAACTATCTTTCAAAAAAAAAAAAAAAAAAATGAAGCATTGTGGTGTTACAATGTACACATATGCTCCTTTTGAGGCTATAACTATCAAGATATGAAACTATTACTGTTAAATACGCTGATCTGCCTCCTCATACCTTATATTATCCGAACACAAGTTGTCAGGCACTTATTCGATCTACTGATCAAGAATAGTGAGTCTGTTTATTAATGATTTTGCAGGGCTATTATGGGTAGTGTTAGCAACTTTGTGGTGAATCATGCTCCATGTCCCGTTACTGTCGTAAAGAGCCATGACTAAACATGGTGCTTTTTACCTGTGGAGCTTATTCTTGTTGTGTTTGCTGAAGCTCCTCGCCTTTTGAGGGCATTAGACTTGTTAAGTAGTGAATAATTGTGTTGTGTGTGATTTTATGTCGAAGTTTGTTATTGTATGTGTGCCATATCCTCGAAGGATTGTTGTTGTAAGAATGAATTAAAATTACTGTTTAGTCGGGAATTAAGGTTGAATAAATCAAAACAAGACTTCTTCTGTTCTTAGAATCAAATGTGATTGTTGGTATCGCCGGATCAAACATTATTGTTATTTTAGAAGTTAAGGTTTGATTGATTTGATTATTGATAATACAATTTTGCTTAAGCCGTAAGATTATGGAGCCATTTACAGATTATATATCGACATGTATTCTAAAATAAATATATGTCCATTCACACAATGCATTATATATAAAGTAGAACTGTTAAAACAAAAAGAGCTTCTTATATGTTCGGCTCGTTTGATAATAGAGCCCAGCTCGAGTTCATTGTAAACTCGTTTAGTTAACAAGTTGGAATAGACTCGTTAAGACTCGAATATAAGAATTTTCATACAATTTTCTATAATCTATCTTGTTAATTTTCATACAATTTTCTATAATCTATCTCGTTAAGGCTCGAAAATAAGAATTTGTATATAATTTTTATTGTTCGGCTCGTCAAAGCTCGAGCTTGATTACTGACTCTGTACAACGCTAATTATATATAATGACAAGAACAATATGTATGGGCATAAGTAATCAGTCAGTTCTACAACAAACTGAACCATTATATAATTTTTAACTCTAGATGATGAACAAAGTTTACATTACGATAGAAAACCATCACAAAATGATCGGTTCAAAGAGAAAAATTAATTAGAAGTACAAATGTACGACTCTTGTTGACAACAAAATACTCACCACTCCAAGAACTCTCTAAAAACAGCCGAAAACATGACCCCAAAATGTAGGGGAATAATGCCAAGCAAACCAAGTCTGTATCCTTAAAACATTCCCCCGCTAAAACTTCACACAAAAAAAAAAAAAAAAATAAATAAATAAAAAAAATCCCCCAAATCAACAAATGGCAGCTCATATCAACCCAAGGCCACTCTTCCTCTCCCTCTCTTTCCTCCTATTCCTCCATCTCGCCCGGCCCGACGACCTCGCCCCATCCCCTTCCTCGGGCCCTGAGTCCTCTTTAGGCTCGGTCCCCGTCCCATCTCCATCAGTTGGATCCGGGCCTAGCCCATTGCCATCTACTACTGCCCATTCTCCATCCCACTCCCCAGATCCAGATGCAGATGCAGGTGCAGACATAGACGAGCCTGTGGTATCCAACGGGCCTGGCCCATCACCATCTAACGCCCCCTCCCCCAATGCAGATGCTGATGTGGATGGGCCCACGTCATCCGATGGCCCAACCCAATTCGATTTCTCAGTTGCCCCAATCACAGCCTCCGAAGTAAGTCCCAAGGTGAAAGACATATGCGACTCGACTGACCACCCGGAACTCTGCCTGGCCACCGTGGTCCCATGCCTGCACGGGGGCGACTATGATGTTCCCACTGTAGTAGAAGTTTCGATACGGGCCGGGCTTGCCCTGGCGAGGATTGGGCTTTCCCTGTCGAAGAATGCCCCAGGAAGCCCGCACGAGATGGGCTCGGTGCTCAGGGACTGTAGGGACAGTTATGATGACGCGGTTTACAATTTCGAGAGCGCGATTGATGCTTTCCCAAGAAGGGACACGGGCACTATGAAAAGCATGCTCAGTGCCGTTATAACCAATGTCGGGGATTGTAATGACGGGCTGGCACCGTTCAGAGACGAGTCCCCGTTCACTAGCGTGGCTGAGAAGCTGACAAATATGACGAGCAACTGCCTGGCTATTGTTTCACTCTTGGATTGAGGAGTTATATTAACTTTGACTAGTTGGATTGTTTTTTTCTCTTATGGCTCATTTATACTAAAGTTACTCTGAAATAGTTTTTTTTTTTTTTTT